AAAGAATTAACATTATTGGGAGAGATGTTTCTTTCGCCAACGGCATTGCGATTATTATCTAAACCAGGACCACCAAAGCTAAGCCAATCATTATTTGAGAGCACACCGAGGAAATTATGTGCGAATAAAGTCGTCGTGATAAATAGAGTACGAATAAATCTCATGTTTCTTTAATTTTTAGAAAAAAGAAAAGAAAGTGAATGGGATGAAAAGATTAATTCGTTGTATTTATAACAAATTTCACTTCTAAAAATACAAACTAAATTCTTCTCACATAATTACATTCGCAAATTTGGCGTGACTAACATGCAAAGGTGATTTGCTAAAAAAAAAAAATTACGTAACAAACCTTACGTTCAGAAAGTAATTCGGTTGCTAGATCTCTACATTAGGCTTTATTAACGAATGGCTTTTGTTCCCGTACTACCTGCATTGTTTGCGTCCATTAAAATCATCGATATTATTATTTATTTAAATATTATTATACAACACGGTTTTGGAAAGCATTGTTAAGGTCGGAGCACATGTGTAATGAAAGACATAAATAGTCCTCGAACTAAAAATATAAGGTATTTATATTTATTACAAATAAACTGTACGCGTAAACTGAAAATGATAACAACCAATCATATTTTATTGTACGATAAATATAAAAAATTAAAAAAAGTAGACAATGAGTTATGATTGGCTGAAACACTTTCGTACAATCAGTTTACAGTTTATCACAGGCCCCTGATTCTGTGCGGGTTGTATAAAAATGCATCGAATGCATACTATTTTTAATATTCATGTGAATTAAAAATTATTTAAATATTAAACTTTTCCCATAGTCACGCATAAATATTTAAATTTTCTTTCTCGTTTTTCACCTTTATATATTTTTTCATTTTTATTTATCAATATGTGATTTGAATTCATATCTAGTGATGATACTTATATTGAGTTTTTTACTAAATATTTTCTTGAAAGTATTCCAGAAGATTCTAGTGATGATGAAGTTCCAGAAAGCGTTTCCGATAATACAGTAAATTCTTTGACTATAAAACTAGAAGTTGGATTAACTGGAAGATAGTGTTTAAACAAATCAAAATATAAAGGCTTTTATATTCATAAAGGAATATCAGATAAGATTGAAGGTAAAAGGAGATTAGTTTGTCGATCTGAAGGAATTTATAATAATCAAGAAAAAAAAAAAAAATAAAATAAATCATCAAAGACATAACGAACCAACTGTAAATGGCATGTTAATCTTTCCCAATCTATCAAAAAGCAATCCGAATTCTATAATTCATATCACTACTCTATTTAAAGATCATTTCTGGCATAATTTAGATCCTACTTCATGTTTGTTTTAAAGCAAATAAGGTTTTTTACAAAGCTTATGTTAGATGATATTCATTGGATGTATATTTATAGCAGGGACGATGATCTCCGGCGACGAAATTTCGCAAAATCTGCCGGCGTTTATTTTAAAATCTGCCCCGCTTTCTG